ATGGACAGGCTTAGTGGTACGAAGCTGTGCTGCAATCTCAAAGGCATGCAGCTTGTATCCACCAGCTGTACGGCAGGAGAATAATGGGACAACATAACACTTACGCATCATTCAGTTAGAATTGACCCGTAGCTGACCAACATTCCCCACCCCCAGCAGGTTTTCAGAGGTAGTAAGTCACACAGGAGGAGAAGCTGATGGATTTGAATCACATGCCTTTGGGTTGGCTGTGGCCACAACACTAGAGATTCTTAAAAACAGAAAAGAACTTTGTATTTCTGTGTACCTCTCAGAGGGCCTAACACAGGGCCTTGCTGTCACATATACTGAATAAAGATGCAAACTGATAGATTTGGGGCTTATGCCTTCCCTTTTGAGAACACTAAGTCCAAATATATCAGTTGTGAGCTTTTCATTTGTTTGGGATTTATAGGTCAACTGAGCCAGTGAGTGCTGGGTCCATACTTTTTCCAAACTGTGAAGCAGGCAGAGGGGTCTGGAGGGGGCTTCTACTTCAATGCAATTTCAGTCTCAAAGGAGCAACACGTGGAGATGGACAAACAGGGCTGTCCCGTGAAGTAAGAGGAAGGCAGCCTGTTCATTGTTTTTCCATAGGGAAGAAACTATTAATTAAAATGCTGGTGAAATTGGAGAAGTCTTTATTTAGCTGGGCCCATCCAAGCCAAAGAAGCATCAGACGAAAGGTGTGAGGGTTTGATAATAAGCGTTGTGTTCGAGAAACATTTTTTGGCCCCGGTGGAACGTAGGAAGGATGTGGTGAGGGACGAGCCTGGAAAGTACCCAGAGCCAAGCTGAGCAGTATGATTTTGTTTATAGAGGCAATAGAGCCTTCAAAGTGCATGTGGAGGGGTATTACATTATGAAAACAGTCCTTTATAAGACTCCACACTCAGCAGAATGAGGATTAACCTGCTGGTTGGCAAATTAGACAAGCCCACACCAAGGATTCTCAGGCAGGGCATCATGCCACCCTAGCTTTGGGGAAGTCGTTGTAAGAGAACTGCTCATGCAGGCAGTTTATTAGTTGTCGTTAAATGCCATCAAGTCAAGTATGACTCACAGTGGCCCCAGGAACAACAGATCTGAACCCTGTCTTATCATATGAAATCCTCACACTCTATCTATTCTAACACACTCTATCAGTCCACGAGGTTGAGTGTCTTCCTCTCCTTCACTGCCCTCAACCTTTTCAAGAATGAAGTTCCTTTCCAAGGAATAGCCTCTCCAGGCAACATGTCTGTAGTATGTGAGATGAAGCTTCATCATCTTTGCCTCCAAGGAGCATTCTGGCTGCACCTTCTACAAGATATATGTGTTTGCTTTTTTTAGCTGTCCATGTTGACCTAGTGGATAGAAAGTTATACTACCAAGCCAAAAATACTTTATTTTAATCTGTTGCCCTCAGGTCTGGTTTTAATTGTTTTTGGTTAAACATTCTTCTAAGTGTTATAGCACTGGTCTGCCCATTTGCTGTAGAGAGGTAACTCTTGGTTGCTGTGATGCTGAACACTGTGACACTGATGTGTCAAATGCAATATTGGTCACCCATGGTGGACAGGGTTTGGTGGAGCTTCCCAATTAAAACAAGCTTGGAAGCAGGAGTGGCATCCACTTCCATAATAGCTTGCCTCTGGAAACTCTACGAACATGGAGAAACAGTGAAAGTTATACAAGTGTTCAGGTCTTTCATTCAGAGTTGCTATGAATCATCTATGACTCAACAGCACTTAACAACAACATTGGATATTCAGTACTCTCCATTAACACCACAGTTAAAAAACAGCAATTCTTTTCTGTCATCCAGGGTAGGTGGTACAACCTGTGCTCTGACCTGTAATGTTGTAGCGTACCATAGAGTCAGAAATGATCCATAGCTGACTCTCCATAGCATCTTATAATGTGAATATTCTGACATGTTGCACATGAATTCATGTGTTGAGTTCACACACAAAAGATGTGTGACGTCTGCTTTTTCTTCCCAGAATTACCCTGTTATGAAAACTGAAGTAATGATCAAGGCGATAGAGAAGCTGTTGCTATATACCATTGAGGTGGGACCCACCAGGTGGGGTTTGCAGAAGGCAGTAAATAGCATGAGAAGAGATTGCCCATCTACTTCCAAGAACTGCTGGTGGATTTGGTCTTTAGATTGGCAGCAAAATTCCTTACCACTAAGCCTGCAGAGCTCCCTATTGGAGAAGCAGGTAGAAGTAATAAATGACAATTGACTGAGCTCAGGACTTGAGGGTAGGAAGAGGCTAAATCCAAATTCAACTCACTTTTTTAAAATCTATTTCAAAATGACCCTGTAGAACTGTCCACAGGGTTTCAAGGGCATAAATCTTTACAGAAGCAGATTGCCTCATCTTTCTCCTGTAAAGTGTCCAGTGAGTTTAAACTGCCACCCTTCTCTTTAGCATCCACTGTGTCACCAGGACTCCTGAGAGTGAGACTAGGAGGTAATATTTTAAAAGGGTTTGAAGATGACTAGGAGTTCCAGCTACAAGCTTGGAGGAATTCTGAATCTCAGCTGGGATTTTTCCATTGCTCCTGTTTGGACATAAGAAGAGACTGAAGCTGAAGCTATGCTTTGGCTTTGTTCTTTCACAGAGAAAAACAAACCATTTAAGCCCCTTCCCTAATCTCTCTGAGACAGAGTTCTTCTGGTTTAGAGACTCTGGAGAGAATGTGACATTCTATCCAGAGAATGGAGCACATATTTTTGCCATCATGGTTCTAATCCAAGCTGTAAGAAAAGCAACGGTTGTTGACATCATGTTCTACGTGTTTGATATTTAAACTTATTGTCAGAGTGGAGCAAAAATTAGTATGTGATTCAACCAAGTCTTTAGAAAGAACTCTCAGTGGAGTGCAAAATAAACATAGTTGTGTAGGAAAGTATCCAGACAAGCAACACCAAACTTAAAAGACAAGTACATTAAGAGGGTTGCCATCTCATCCACCCAACAAATACTCAATGACTCTGAACCAAGGGGGTTCAATAGAGAGAAAAACATGGTGACTCAAAAGTTTTAATAAATTCTAAATTTTGAGTGTAGCTAAAAGCTTAGACCACACCTGATCTGTCAGTTTGCTGTACTGTGTAAGAAGCCAAAACTATAAAAGCAATAGATAAGCACAGATTGGATTTTTATTCATTCATGGCTGCCATGGAGTTGGAACTGATTCATAGCTGACCCTCTGGCAGGTTTCTAAGGCTGAGAGTAACATTAAGGAGATGGCCCATCTTTCTCCCACAGAGAGGCTGGTGGACTCAAACCGCCAGGCAGGCACAGGCTTTGGGATAACAGTGCAATTTTCCACGACAAAACCACCTCAGCTCCTTTGCATTATTGTTGCAGGTTGAATAAGTGTACTTCTGTGTTAAACTGTGTGACATCTGTTTATGTGTGAATTTCAGTAGACATGTTAGAGAAGTGTATGCAAATACAAGATGACTTTGAGAGTTTGATATTTTGATAATGTGACCATTTGAGTAAGGACTCAGTATTACTGAAGGTCAAAAAACCCTCATAAGGCAACAACTCATTAATTTAGCATCTGCATTTTCCAGACAACTAATGTATATGCCAACAAATGGTGGGATCATGAGAAACTTTTTGTTTTGTCTCATAAATAAGAAAAGTTTTAAAGAGATCTTTAATGGGAATGAGAATCATAGGCAGGAAATAGGAATATTACAGTTGTATGTGGGCATTATTACCAAGGTAATAAAGTGCTCTCGGATTCCCATTCTTCTCAAAGTTAGCCATAATTTGTTATGATCCACTGTCAAACGAATTTGTAGTCAATAAAGCAGAAATAGACATTCTTCTGGTATTCTTTACTTTTAGCCAGGATCCATCTGACATCAGCAATGATATCCCTGGTACCACAGCCTCTTCTAAATCCTATTTAAACTTCCGGCAGTACCCTACGTATGTACTGTTCTAGCCATTTTTAAATTATCTTCAGCAGTATTTTGCTTTCATGTGATATTAACGATATTATTTAATAATTTCTACATCTGTTAGATCACAGATCAGTTAGATTTCTTGGGAATTGAAAAAATACAGACCTCTTTCAGTTCATTGGCCAGATATCTGTCCTCCAAAATTTCCTGGCATAGTTGGTAAGTGCATAACAAGACTGCATCTGTTAAATGAAACAAGTCAATTGGCATCACATTGATTCTTGGGGCCTTATTTTTTTATTTTTATTTTTTTTGCCAATGCCTTGAATGCAGCTTCCATTTCTTCCTTTTTACCACTGACTCCTGCTCTTATGTTACTTCCTGAAATTTTTCAGTGTCAATAAGTTCTTTTTGGTACAGTGATTCTGTATATTACATCCATCTTTTCTCTACTAGTTTATTTATAAAATTTGAATACAAATAAATAAATTGAAAGAATTTTGTTCCATCCATCTTCTATTGATGCTTTCTGGGTCATTCAACTTATTGCCCACAGCATCTTTCAATATTGCGACTTGAAGCTTAAATTCATTTTTCAATTCTCT